AATTATAATGAATATCCCCAGTAGGTGTAATTACACAGCAGCATTTTAGCTACTATTCTACTGCCTTGCAGACATTCACAGGAGACAGGGATTTCCTTCAACTCCCCTGAATGTTTAGTTTACCTTTTGAATTAGCCCTAATTATAAGAGTTAGGAAAGATATTTTTAAACATTGGTGTACCCTTCACTGCAGCTTTACACTGCGCAACTCAAGGAACAGGGCTTTTAGGGGAACAAGCCACACCATTTCAAACTGAACACAACACTGGGGCTCCAACTTCTGTGGCTCACATATTAATCAAATGAATTCGAGGAAATWGATGGTGAGGAGGCATCTATTTTGCAACAGCCTCACTGAGGACAGACCCACCAAGCTCCAGCCTCCGCGGGAGAACAAATAACTGCACTGATACCACCCGCAAACAGCACGATAACCACCTCTTTGTTCCCACCAAAGACACAACAGCAGAATCCTGAAAGAGAAGTCATCTGATATGTCAGCTCATTAAATTAGTCAGAACGGGTGAATGGGGACGAGGAATATACCATTGTAATGTATGTTAATTAACAAATGCTATAAGAGAGGCATTTAAATGTATGAAAATGAATATTAATGAGATGAAAACACCTAATTATTGTGCATCTAATGGTATTATCCAGAGCATCCAACAGAAAATGCCTAATTGACATGCATCTAAGGCAACAGTGCAAACCTTCAGACACAAAGACTCAGTGTACATATAGATCATGTTATGACCTTAATTATAGACATTGCAAAATATCTGCAGTGAAATTGAATTTGGATTTTTTTTTTCAGTTCCATTTCATTCATCCAAAACATTAAATTTCACAATTTTCTAGCCAGATATCGTTGCTGCACTTCAAAACTGCATGTTTTTTCTTGTAACGTTGTACTGAGGTGTTCCCGTGTTTCCGCATACTCATGCCCATTTCGCCAGACCAACACTGGAAAGTAGGGCTGCAAACTGGCCTGGACTGAAGTTGGGAGGACTTGTCCTCCTAACAGCAAACCTCACTCTATATGCGACTCCTTCCTGCGCAGGGGTCTACCCAAAGGAAAATCCTGAGGTGAAGCCAGTATTGATTCTTGGAATTAAACACTACCTCATTCTACATATGCATTAAGAAGCAGAAATAAAATTATACAGGTCACTTGAAATCTATTATTTCCTAATTACTCACTGGCTGGCTTTACAACCTTAATGTTCTTTTAATGCAAGTTTTCCAAGGTTTTTTTTTAATGTAATTGTAGGTACAGAGTCAATCCCTTGACCCCAGCTAGAAGGGCACTTTGCTTTAAGGAGTCCTCCCAACGTGCCCTATCTGCACACACGTTGCCTGCTTGAGGCTCCAGGACGTATGCCAGGGGCTTGTCCACAGGATCATCTGTTTTAATGACTACTCTCTCTCTACATGGTATTTGTAGTCACAACAAGATTAATATCATTCACACATATGATCAATGAAGTCTTAGTTCTACCATCAAAGTAATTAATGAAAATAGAGCACATTAACTTAGCATCGGAGCCAGGATTGATTCCTGAAAGATAGGGCTCTCCTCTCTCAAATCTGAGCTTTTATTATGTATACCAGCACCAAAGTGACAAGCACGTTAGATATACCTTGACATATATACTTAACCATCACTCAAAATGGCTTATAATTGATCACATTTTATAACAATTATATCTTATCCATGCCTTTAATTTTTCTGAGACTACTGTAGAGAAATGTACGAAAGATGTTTGTAAAATTGAGATACACTATTCTGGTGGATTTACCTTTTCTGCTATGTTTTTTATCCTCAGAGAAAGAAATTAAGTTAGCTCATATGCTTTACTTTTGACAAACCTATGCTGCTAATTATTTACAACCCATTTCYCATAGTTACTTCCAAACCAACTGCTTTTCACAGCTCCAAGATTTTACTTGCTACTGAATTCAGCTAAAATGTTCAGGCCTGACATCACCAGTTTTCCTCTCATTGCTATTTGCAGAGAACCGCCATTCGCCTCGACGAACCTCACGATCTGAGCGGCAGCCGCAGTGCATTCCCCTTCGCGCACTCCACGCACAGGGACTCCCCAGCCCGACGCAACACTAACCGTTGCGACACCTCTGCCACTACCATTAGCAGAGGGCAGAAGGGATCTGTCAGCAGCATTTTGCACCCTCTAGGATACAGTTGGAATTTCTAACCAAACAAGAAGTGCTTCTCAGCAGCTACAGACACTCGAGTTAACTCCCCTCAAGTCGGCTTTGCTCCAGTGAGAACAGCCATGTTGCAGCGCTGTGGCAGAGCTATGCAGAGAAGTCATATTAACACTACCTCGAGCTTTACCTTAAACTCCCCAAATGCGAAAACAATTGTAGGAAAAGACATCAATGYTCTTCAGTTAAATTAACTCAAGTTAAGGAGAAAATCTGCGACGATGCTGTATTTCCTTGCAAACAGCTATACTTCCCATTCCTTTTACTCTCCTATGTCTATTTGAATCTACAGCAATGTGCCTATATGGGTCACAGCCTTCTCGTGCATTTTTTGTGTGCATCTTTTTTTTACAAGCAAAAAGAGAAAATCTACAATGAAGGCAAATCTTTTAAAGAAACTAAAGCAATTCCTCTCATTTACCGGAATGYAGAATCTTTATTCTTCATGGGACCCAGCTGGTTGCCTTCAAAGGGGCTGCCAACAAGTCTGCCAAAACTAAACATGGGAGAAGAAGATTATCTCTCTCAGGTACAGTGGCGCTTAGCATCTCAGCCTGAACAGAAGACAGTTCTGAGCAGAGGTATCCAGGTTCCTACAGTAGTCACTGGGTCCCTCACTCTAAGGAAGAATGCAAAGAACTATAAAAACACATCCTCCATAGAAAAYAAAATGTAAACTCAATCTGACAAAAATAGAAATATATGTGAGAGAGTACAATACAGAAAAAAAAAGTCAACCCCTTCTTTAGAAGCTTTACATAGCCAATGCTAAAATACTGTGCAGAAAAGTTGAAGATATTGATAGCCAGTAATGCAAAGTAGATTGCAGTTAATTGTTAACATCTCCTGGGCTACACTTCCTACATCCCCACACAGATGATGAATAAAATTATTTACCTATTCAAGTAATGAGAGCTGTGCATTTTGATATCCACATAGCCTGTAACTCAGACCTCCTCTGAGACTCCTACCTGTAATTAGGAACAGATGTAGAATCTTGTTCCTGAATTGATAAAAACAAATTTCATCCCTCCTATGATCTATGGCTTGAGGGCACAGGGAATGGTAAGGACACTCCTCCAGAAAGTTATCCCTCCAGGCACTGGATCTACCAGCTCCCCTCAGCAGCAGACCCCTGCAAGGGCTGCTCTGCATGATGGCCCTCGGTGCTTCTCCACCACTGATTTGGGACACCCAAACATTCACAGATGACAAGGCAAGTGCATAGCAAGAAAGTGACAACCAACATTTATCTGCCTTCACCTCTGATGAGGAAAACTACAGATCTGTATCATTCAAACTAGGCTAATTTTCTAACACATCCAGACTTTTCCATGGTGGAGCAATTTAAAATTAAGCCTACACAATACTACGTGCTTTCAGCAACAATTCTCACAGCTCAGCACATGCAGTTGGGGAGTATGCCAGATTACTTCATGGGAGAAACTCAAGATGACATTCAGTGTAACCTACTCTTTTGATTCTCCTAAACGTCACTGCACTGCAAGAAAACATGTCTATTAAAAGCATTTCATGAACCAAAAGAAGGCACTTCTTTCTTTTCATCAGCTATTTTAACAGTTAGCTGAAATAACCTAAGGGTAATAGGAAACTACCTGTTTTTTCACTCAAGCACATAAGTACCAATACCAAAGCCTGACAGAAAAGACTGAATGGTTCAAAGAAAATTTGCCATTTAAAGATGTGGCAGGTTGACCCTACCACAGTCACACATGTCTTGGACTACTCCAGATGTTCTAGCTCCACCTCATACTACAGGCCCAATACATTGGCAGTATTAAGTCTGAAGAGGTTCAAAAGAGATGTTGCGACCACCCTTTGTGGAGTGAGATAAACAAAACACCCTTCTTTCACATTCCTTCATGGACCACTGAATGTCCCTCCCAAGACTTGCTCTGATGCAGAGCAGTTTGTAAATCTCACTGGCCCCTGGCTTAGGTAGGTTGGAAAGTAGAGAGAAGTTTGTATTTACGGAAGTGACTTCCATACAAGAATGTTTCACTAGTTTTATTTAAAACTGACTGAAACAATTCAAATTAAACTCATATAAATCCTCTCATACATCCTTATATAAAGATATTAAATGAGAGTTCACTTGGTTTTAGAACTAATCTAAGTCTAAAAGAAGTTATCAGATGAAATAAAACCTCCACTCCAAGTTTTGTGTTAGTTTAGATGAGCAGATTTATCAGTCAGTTTAGTGCAACTCCCTCGTGTAGACAAGCCCTAAGAACACATTCAGTCTCCAGCAGTATCCTGCTTCCTCCTAGGGATTTTGCAGCTGGAATGGCCTCATGGAAACCTCATTGCCTAGAAATAAAAGGATTGTGGGGATACTCATAGCTGTGTGCTCACAGGCCCTCCACAGACATTGCCTAAATTAGGGTAATTAATAGGGGGGGATGTGCCTATGCTCCTGAGTAGTTTATAAATGTTACAAAAAGAAGAACATTTTATATGTCCCCTGATCGGATTTAAATGTAATAAACGATGCACAAGGAGGTATTTTACGTCTCTGCATTTAAAAGCAAGCTGACAACTACACTTACAGGCCAGTCTCAGGTCCCAGCAATCCCACTAGGAACGGGAGCAAAAAATACAGTTGCAGGATAACAAAGTTCATCAGGATGCTGGCTCAGCAGTACAACATGCACCAACAGAGCCATGGTGACACAATTTGACACCCAAGGAAACACAATTTGACACTTGCCCACAGCCTCCACTTGCTAGTCACTGGCACCACTTACCTGGCCACCAAAGAYCCAGGGCTCTTCATTCCACGGCCAGAGCAGTTCTTCATCTGCACATACAGAAGACTGCATGGAGGACACAGCTGGGCAGTTCCTTGCAATCTTGTGCCTCTGCTGCAAAACAGATAAAGGTCAGGTTTGTAACTGGCACGTGCGGGCAGTGAGAGAGGAAATGGATACTGCATGCATCTCTCTATGCTGTTTCATCTTGCTTTTGGCCAGAAACCTATTATCACTGAAGCACTGCAAGCATTTCCCAGCTACCAATTTTTTTAAAAGAGATGGGGAAACGTGGCCCTGCACACCCCTCTTCACCAGTGTACACAGACAAGGAGGAACATGCTCATCCACGTATTCACTAAGCCACAGCTACTTCCATTCTCCCAGTGCGCTGCTGGAGAGCCACCAGTAGAAGGACTCCCTTTGAAATGTAACCAACCTGGAAACTGTTTTTCACTTAGATATGCTTCAGCTTGCACCCCTTGCTGCAGGGTAAGAGCAGATGGAGAAGTTTCTCCTTGTGGAAAGACCCTAAATCTGCACAACATGCTGTATTCCTGCATGTCTTTGCGCCCTCTCCATTCTCTTAGCTGAAAAACAACCTTTGGTCTTGAGCTTCAAATCAGCCACAATTCAGTGTCACTTGCATGCACATTCATTAGTCCTGTTAACCACAGAGGTGCTGCCTAAGGCAGCATACAGCTGTTCTTAGGCATCTATTTATCCCACACCGTGTGTGTTGTTTCACTTTGTTGGAATTGCACCCCACTGATGACAAAAGACAACTCAGAAATGAATGAAACCAAGCAAAACTGAGAGCAACATCTGGCATTTCCACTACATCATCCCCAACACAGGGAAATGGCTTGATGACTTGCACTATTTATATATATATATATATATATCTACACATATAACATTTTCTGCCACTAGCAACATCTTGATTTCTGCTATTTGAAGAGGGCAGAACACTACAGTTTAACATACTTGATTTGTTAAAAAAATCTTCATTTTACTCTGTCTTCTCACCCTATGGTTTGTTACATAAAGGATATGAGGTAACAGATTTCTTTTATATTCCCTTTTCCCTTGTTGGGCAAGGCTGGTGACAAAAGGGCCTGCCAAACTACTAGAATTACACTTTGCTTTCAATTACTGGTTCCCAAACTGCACTTCAGGAAATTTAAGAGGAAAAAGCTTATCTGGTTATAAGAGCAAAGTTTGGTTTCAGATTTGGGACAGAATTAGGTTAACATTTTGACTGTATTCATGACGCATCCAATTATAGCCAAACATCACCTGACATTTATCACTTACTTATTCCTTCTATTTTGCATAAAGATTTCTCAGCTGTGTCTTAGGAATGAACCTACTTACTCCTGTTAGGATCCAAGCCTTTAGTACAGAACTTTTGGGACTAAATTATAGCTTCTATTCCACTCTTGTCTCTATTTATACATTTCTTGCATTAATTTGTATATAAATGGTTGTGACTGTCCTTTCATTCTTCACAACTGTAGTGCTATTGAACATGGCCAGGTTTGCAGAGCTTTTAAACAACCAGCATCGTATGTTAATATGAAGCTTTTTTGGGCATTATGTTCATCTCATTCTCAATATCTTATGTCAGGCATCTTCCTAGCAAGCCAAATAATATTGGTGTGACCATCGGAGCCACCATTTACAATGAAGTATGAAAGTAGGCTATTATAGTTGTCTCTCTGGTTATTACAATTGCCTGATAACTAAATTTGGCTGATACAACCGGAGGAGAAGCAGCAATACTACATGGCTGGTCATATCTCCACGGAATGACAGCTATAGGTATCTATACAGTCAACAGTCACAAACTGTAAAGGATTTCCCGTGGGAAACGCTACAAGCAGGGTAGAGTCAGGTGCTGAGAGCAGTAGTGCTGGGAAGGAMACTTGCCTAATCGTGGCTCCCTCCAATGCCAAATCTCACTGACACCTCACAAGGCCCCCAAGACCGTCAAACCTTGAGACTGCAGCACTGATGGTCCTGCTAAATTCCTACATCGCACCTAAATGGTGACAATATTCAACACCAATCGGTGGTTCTGGTTTGTATTCTTTTCTCTTAAATGGTATCTAACAATTTAATTTAAAGAATAAAATGTTCAATAGAAAAAAATAAGCTTGCAGAACTGTGTGAAAAGCATGAGAAATGATACAACCCCATGATATAAAGTAGGGAGATTTACACACTCAAAAACCTGTAGGAGGCAGTGCTGAACATCTGATGAAGGTGATCTGAGCTGCTGCTTGAACACAATTATTTCCCTGACGGGCTACTAAGACAGCCCACAGCAATCTGGATCACCAGGCCCGTTGTTCGGATGCGTAACATGAGGAGGTACATGCAGCACCAACAAAAATGGAGATTACTGATTAAACCTACTTCAATCAGATGGAATCAGCTGAGTGCCTCCATGAAAATATATTCCCAACCTTTGCCTGCCTTGAAGATGAATGCATCCCAACACAGAAGTGTCAAGCTGCGTTCCAGTGCCTGCCACAAGACTCCAGTCTGGCTTTGAGCAAACACCAAGTGAGGTATTTTCTAGCAACCAAAGGGCAGCAAAGAAGCCCCCTGAGAGCCACCTTCTTATCTGCAGCTTTGAAAAACTCCTGTAATTTCTCTCTGTCCCTGTAAAACAGGGATAACAACTTTCTTCTCTCTCCCTCTGTTTGGCCCATTTGGGAATTCTTGTGGATTGCGTCTGTCTCTCCTACACCGTCTGAAGGGGGAGCTCAGTACAGTGGCCGCTGATCCTAGCCCTGGAGGCACAAAGGTAAAACAAACAGAAGAACGACACCTCAACAGTGGCAAACGTGTATCTATATGCTGCTCACACAAACAGGCAGAAAAAACAGCCTCCCTTTCATCCCCCAAATGCACATTTTAAAGTGCAGATCTTTGCTGAAGAGGGTCCCAGGTTTTAAAAATGACATTTTGGGTCTCCATGTTTTTCTTGTCACTCAATAATTTCCATACACATATTCACCACAAGGAAAATTACGCATGGCGGAAAATTGGGAAGGAAGCTAATTAAGCACTCTCACTCTATTTTTTTTTTTTTTTTTTTTTTGGCCAAAACTTGAATCAAAAGAGGTTTCTAGTCCAATAATTGACGTCTATTTTTAATGCATGCTTTATGCATTTCTAGACCTCATCTATATTAGAACTCAGTAAGCCAAAGCAAATAACCGTGTGCACACACTAACGCACAGCACTGGGTGCATTTTCTGTGTGCAAGTGCAAGAGAAAAAGAGAGTTTGTTCTCCCAGTATTTCTGCATCTCTAAGCAGGAAGGTTTGAAAATGTTGCAAAGAAAAGTCTGTTCCCATGAGAATTTCTGCCTATTTCTCTGCAGTTTCAGGAAGCAATTTCTGTCTACCGTGCACAGGAATTCCAGCATTTTGGCAAAATTCTAACATCAGCATCATTAAAAACATTGATTTATTTTAATTGTCACCTTGTGCCCTATACTGCCAAATGCAGTCAGAATGTCAATTCTTTATCAATGCGAGCTGTTGACATGGAAACAGTGCAGCTGTAAGGAAAGCAAGAGGAAAAAATGTGTCACTCCTTAAGTTATACTTAGAAGTGGTAAATCTGTGTGTGCTACAATAGATTTAAATACTCAATAAACTACGCAGAAGAAATAAACAACTATTTGGGGTGACAGTCATTTTAGTTATTTACATCATAGACTGCATTTAGCAAATCTCCACTGTTACTATGGTAACCGCTTTTGCTTAAATGTATCTGTGGCCGCACTTTAGGTATGATCTAAATTAAGTGAAGATGGAGGAAGAGGATGGGGGGTGGAGGGGGGACAGCACACAGCTCTCCTGCCTGGCAGCTCTTCCAGGCGAGAGCGCAGAGCTGCAGAAAGAGGAGCACAAGCTGCCTGCCAAAATCTCCACCTTAGAGCACGATTAGCGGCGCAGAGCTAAGAAACGGCCCTAAAAGATGCTGTGCAGACCTTTGACCGATGCTACATTTCCACTAGAAAGATTAAATCTCTGTGCCGCTAAAGCTCGTTTCGTAGTCATAGGGAATAAGGCCAGAGGGGCCACTGTGATCTGCTGTTCTTAATAGGGATTAAAGGAAGCGCTGGCCTCCCGCACACCTGCCTCCCAACCTGAAAGCGAGCGGTGGCGCGATGGAGATCACTGAGCAGCAAATGGAGGGAGAGGCTCCTCTGCCCTCTTGCCAGGTGCCAGGGCAAGGGGCAGCACAAGTATCAGACACATTTAAAACAGCTTCTCTAAACAGGATCATGGAGGTGTTTGGATCCAAAGGCTCTTCAAAGCCCCTGGATCCTGGCAACACCATGAGGCATTCAAGTTTGGAATTTGCTGGGGAAAAAAATCCCCGTTCAACTGAGATAAGACATCAAGGAATTTTTTTTTTCTTGTCTCCCTTTCTCCCTTTTGCATTTCTGCATAGATAGGAATACATACCTCCAAAAAGATCTGCATCAACTAGCAGGACAAGGATGGACACACACTGTTAATGACATACCAGCCTGCGAAATACGCACACGGAATATGGTATAACTCTCTAAAAATATCAGGAAGGTCTGTCTGGTTTAGGTCAAGCTTTGTTTTAACTCCTGTAATAAAACATTTCTATTAAACAATGAAGCGGAAGACACATCCTCACTTGGCCTTAACGAGCGCTCCAGATGTATTTGCTATAACTTAACCTGTGTGCTAAAACGCAACGCCAAGGATTAGAAATTTATGTGAGCACTAGGTATAATAGCGCCTTAACCTTACACAGCATGCATCATCCCAAACGATCCCAGGCTATCTACATACCCTGTGCTTCACAAACAATATGTGAAGTAACCAAAATTTTTCCCCTTGTATTGTCATCTTCTGCACCACCACATTTGTATGTTAGAGAGATCCAAGAACTTTTAGATGCAGGACGAAACTGCTGACATAGCTACCTACAGTCAGAGATGAGGAGGAAGGCTGCAGGTTGTCACAGCTGCTCACAGACATGGTCGCATAGAGGAAATGATGCTCTTCCTAAAGAGGGATGGGGAAATAGTCCCTGATGAGGAAAGGATATGC